TATAAAGGCATCTGTTAGTAATGACAAAAGGCTGACCCCAGAGCATTTCCCTGAGGTAAAAAGAAAAAAGCTGAATTAGAGTGGGAGGTGGGTAGGCATGAGGAGAGGGGGTGGAATTTGAGTTCTCGCTCTTCTGGCTGGGAAGATGCTTTACTGTCTACATAATTGACTTCGTGCTACACTGGGACTCGATTAGAGAGGGCCCATCCTGCTCGGCTCTACTCCGTTTTGATCCCGTAGTCAGCTGCAGAGTTATAGATGAAGTGACAAGGATGGTATCTTGATTGCATCCAGCTGCCTGGAGTAAGTCAAGGGCAGAGAGGCCCTGCCTGAGGAACAGCGCTCACGAACGGCTCTGAAGGAATCTGAAATTCAGGACACCTCTGATACTTTTAGAGCAGCATAGTTTAGCATTCTGTGACCCAGTGTCACACAATTAAGTCCCTGTGGAGAGAAGTCTGATAAGTGGCTTCAGCTAACAGGAAGAAGATTCAAATCCTAACAGGGTTTGACCCTAAAACGGAGCCAGTGTTATTAGGGTTGCTGCAAACAGGGGCTTGAAAAGAAGGACCCTTGGGAAGGTGCACGAATTGGAGACTCAAAGTAACCTCGGAGTGGAGGAAAATGCGGCTTCCATCCAGCAGGGGTGCCGACCGAATGGGTGCCTCCCTGTCCCACCCAGCCCTTTCCCCCCACCGCGCCCATCCCTGGTGGGTAATGTAGTGACTTGTGCTTGGAGACTTTCAGAACCTCTGTAATTCCACGCAGGGGAACCGGTGATTGTGGTACCAGTGTGACCGGAATGGGCAGGTGCTCGCTGCCGACAAAAGGAAACTGGCAGTGCCTTTAATGGAGTGTGCCCGGGCCCACAAACCAAACAGAAGCTACGGCTCCCATACTGTGTTGTTGCTATGGGCTCTATAAAACTGTAATAGTATCATATTATTTTAATCTACTGAAATCCAAACCCCAGAGTAGGAACACAGCAGTAGCCTCACGCATCTGAGGAAATGTTTGACATGGCTTCGTTTGTCTGCAGCTATTATGATGGCGGCTGTGGCTGATTAACTCTGTTGGGTACAACATGGTGTTAATGAGGCCAAGGCTGTGGGTTTGAGACGCCTGGTACGTGAACTGGTTTCACGCAAAGGAAACCCCAGACCACACTCAAGACCTGGGTCAGATATCCCATAAAAGCATGTGGACGATCACAGGAGGACTAAGGGAGGACAGTGTAATGACTCAGCGAATATCGCTTACCCGCTTCTGGAAAAGCAGTGTAAAACATGTGCTTTAGCGATGGTGAATTATTACCGTGATCTTCACGCACGAAGGATATCACATTATCATTAATGGTAACCGTTGATCAGTACTGTCGCAGACTTCCTTTCTGAATTAAAGAGAACACTGGCTCGGGCTGTGAGGGAAAGAGAAAGCATCTTCAGTCCCTTCTTTTAGTCTCAGCTTTTTTGCCTGCTGAGATTTTGCCCACTCGTGCGTTCCGTGAGTGTGTATGGACTGCTGTCCTGTGCAGGCACTGCTCTTTGTGCTTGGGAAACCACAGGGAATAAGGCAAAGCCTCTGTCTTCATGGAGATTAAATTCTGTGGGAGGAAAATAGGTGATAAATAAGGAAACAGTAAATAACCAAAACACTTTCAAAAAATGAGTTTGGTGAAGGAAAGGATGGGGTGAGAAGATGTGATGAAGAATGGCTCGGAGGGAGACAGTGTTTACCTTGGGTAGGAAAGGCTGAAAAGACCTCTCGAAAGTAGGTGACTTTTAAGCAGAGACCTGACTGATGAGCAAGGAAGAGCTTTCTGAAGAGCTGGGACCACGTTCCCGGCATAAGAAACAGAAGCAGTAGTCATGATTCCGGAACCGAGAGTCCACTGAAGTGTGGGAGCACGTGGTAAGAGGAGAGTGGGAGAGTGGCTGGGCCCTTTAGAGTACGCTAAGGAGTTCGGCTATTATTCTTGGTCAGCGGGAATCCATTTTTTGTTTTATTTCAGGGGTGGAACAGTTCTTTAAGATTTTGGGGGGTATTGGTTGAAGTGTGTCCCCCTAAAAAGTTATGTTGAAATCCTCACCCTTAGTAACCTTATTTGGAAATAGGATCTCTTTAGAGGTAATCGAGTTAAAATGAGGTCATTAGTGTGGGCCCTAATCCATTTTGCCTGGTATCCTTATAAAAAGGAGAAATTTGGACACAGACACACACGCAGAGGGAGGAAGGCCATATGAAGACAGAGGTTGGGAGTGATGCATCTACAAGCCAAGGAATGCCCACGATCGACAGTCAACCACTGAAGCTAGAAAGCAGCTAGGAAGGATCATTCCCCTATAGGTGTCAGAGGGAGCATGGCCCCGCCAACACCTTGACTTCAGACTTCTCGATTTCTGTTGTTTTAAGCCACCTGGTGTGGTGACTTTGTTACAGTATCCCTAGCAAATTACAGAAGGGACGGGGTGCTGGCACACTGGCTCTGCCCTGGGGAAAGCAATGATGCATCGTCCCTGGACTCAGTGACGGGTGGGCGTCGGGGAAGCCTCCACTTGCTACAGCACATGACCATATGACTTATATATATATGTGGCTAAATATATGACAAAGATAATTTAAAATACATATATATATATATTTATACACACACACACATAAAACAGGATACAGTCTATTCGTTGAGTTACCCTTAACCAGATCTTTCTCAGCTTAGCAGAGGGTTACCCGATAAACCCATTATAAGTTGGGGCACGTGGGTGGCTCAGTCAGTTAAGCATCTGACTCTTGATTTTGGCTCAGGTCACGATCTCAGGGTCATGAGATTAAGCCCCGTGTCCGGCTCTGTGCAGAGTCTGCTCCTCGCCCTGCTTGTATGCTGTCTCTCTCTCTCTCTCTCTCTCTCTCTCTCTCTCAAATAAGTAAATAAATAAAATCTTTTTTAAAAAAAGTGCTCAGAACACTTACATTAGCCTACAGTTGGGCAAAATCATCTAACACAAAGCCTATTTTATAATAATAAAGTATTGAGTATCTCCTGTAATTATTGAATACTGAAAGCCAAAAACAGAATAGCTGTCTGAGTAGAGGATGGTTTTAAGTGTACTGATTGTTGCCCCTCGTGATCGTGGGGCTCACTAGGAGCTGCTTCGCTGCCAGTGCCCCGCATCATGAGAGAGGATCGTACCACATATTGTGGGCCCAGGAAAAGATCCACATTCAAAAATTCGAAGTAGGTTTCTACTGAATGCATATTGCTTTTTTACCATCGTAAAGTCGAAAAATCGTAAGTTGAGCTATTGTCACTTAGAGACCATCTGTTCTCTAATATTCTTTTGGGAATAGTGCTGTTAGAGATACTATGTAAATAATGGTTTGGAAGGGCGAGAGTGGAAGCAGGGACATGGCTAGAGGCCTGCTAACAACAGTCTAGGTGAGAGATGATGGTGGTTTGAGCTAGAGAGAGGGGTGGGAGAATTGGTCAGAGGTGGTCAGAAGTAGAGCCAGCAGGACTTGCTGATGGATGGGGTGTGGGGAAGAAGGAAAGGAAGGAATAAAGACTGACTTGTAGCTCTTTGGCTGGGGCAGTCAGGTAGATGATTTACTGAGATGGAGAGGATTGAGAGAATGGCTCAGGGATAGGGACTCAAGAGTTATGCGTTGGCCCTGTTAAGTTTGAGATGCCTATTGTTTATCCAGTTGAAGATATGAAGTAGTTGGTTTTCTCAGGAACATCTGGGCCAAACAAATTTAGAGGTCAGTATATTAGAGAAGGTATTTAAAAGTGATTGAAACTAGTTGAAATGACTCAGATTGTTTAAAGAAGAGACTAGGGCACAGGACTGGACCCTCGGGAGCTCTGTTGTTTAGAGGCCCGGTAAAGGATAAGGAGTCATGGTTGCTGAGAAGTGGCACCATGAACAGCTGCTAAGTTGTCAGTGCTCCTTAAAGGCATGAACTTCCTCTTCTTTCAATTAAGGTTAAACTAAATTATACAGAAATACATGGGGAAAAATACTGGAAGTACCCCACCCCCAGTATACCAGATTCTGTTTCATAAAACTGTATCTAAGAGCCTTCCCAAATATGGAGATCAAGTCTTTGTTTTCAGTATGTTACAGATTATAGAAACAGACACGTTCTCTATACGTGAGGCTTCTAAAAGGTCATAAAGATGACTGTGTGCTCCAGGAAATTAGGGTTTTAAAAACATTTGTTTTAGAAGCAGACTTTCTGGGGCATCTGGATGGTTTAGTTGGTTAAGTGTCCAACTCTTGGTTTCGGCTCAGGTCATGATTTCAGGATGATGAGATCGAGCCTCACATTGGGTTTCGCGCTGGGTGTGGAGTTGGCTTAAGACTTTCCCTCTGCCCCTCCCCACTGCTTGCTCACTCACTCTCTCTAAATAAATAAATAAATCTTTAGAAACAGAGACTAAGTTTTCACAATCGCCAAATTTGCTAGAAATAGGGACAGTCTGTTAAGCGTCTGCCTTCAGCTCAGGTCATGATCCCAGCATTCTGGGGTCCAGCCCCTAGTCAGGCTCCCTGCTCAGCGGGGAGTCTGCTTCTCCCTCTCCCTCCACGCCTCTGCCCCCATTTGTGTGCTTGTTCTCTCTCTCTCTCTAATGAATAAAATCTTTAAAAAAAAATTAATGAGGACAGTAGAATTGCGCGGCCATGTATTCTTCATGTGTGCATGCATTAAGAATGGCACGTGTTTCCTTCATCATTTGTTAAGAGAGTACCTACCTTGGCCCAAATAAGTGAGCTACTACTACATGACTTGAAATTTCCCAGCAAAGGCAGGAGGATTTGGAGTAAATTAGAATCCACATCTATCTTTGAATATTGATGGAATAACTAGCCCCTGTTTAAGGAAACCTCTTCAGAAGCCCATTCCAGCCTTAGGTGGTGAAGATCTGGCTCTGAGTTTGTACCGTTTGAGTAACGTAGCACTATGTTTGGTCTCCGTCTGAACTGGATGTGTTTCTTCCTCAGGTCTGGCGGGAGTTTCCTGACCGCTTGGTGGGTTACCCGGGTCGTCTGCACCTCTGGGACCACGAGATGAATAAGTGGAAGTATGAGTCTGAGTGGACCAATGAGGTGTCCATGGTGCTCACGGGGGCAGCTTTTTATCACAAGGTAAGGTGGGGGGGAGCAGGCTGGGCAAGTGGGTCTGAGGTGACAAAACTGCACGCATGACATGTGTTCTGTGTGGCCCAGTTGAATTTCTGCTGAGTTTAGGAAAAATGTCCTACTCAGAGGGCCTACAGAGACCATGTTGTCGAGTGTGCCAGCTATACTTCAGTTAAAAAAGAAAGAAAGAAAGGTTATGTTGTGTGATGGTTTAAAGTTATTTTTCTTATTATATAAATAATGCATGCTCATAATAGAAAATATGGAAAATTCATAAATGTTATATAAGAAAAGTCACACACACACACACACACACACTCAAAAGTCACTCATAGTCCTATCACTTAGAGATAACCATTGTTATTGTGTAGATGTTTTCTCCAGTTTGCCTTTTATTTACTTATTCACATATACAGACAGTTGTAAACATGCTCATTAGCCTGCTTTTTCCGTGTATTATCAGTTTTTTAACAGCATTCCTTCATAACATAATTGCTAATATGCTATTGTACTAATATCCATAAGTCATATGTAACTATTTTTCTCTCACTGGATATTTAGATTGTCTCAAAATTTTTTGGCTGTTTAAGATAATGCTTAATAGCTAATGTTTAAATAGTGATGAATATCCATTTTCATAAATGTTTGTACTTGTGATCATTAGTCAGTGCACCGGGAGTTTCTTTCTGTTTCTATTTGCAGTGTTTTCTCCAGGACAGAACGTAGAACACAGGATTGAGCGCTGTGGCTCAAGAGAAGAACGGAGTAGAGATCAGTGTGTAGTGTGTCTCTGACTGATATTTTATTTATTAAACATATGATACATGAGTCCGAAAGGCCTGCATCCTATAAGGGCTTCACACTCTGTCTCTCCTCTGCTTATAATAGGTGATTTTTTAAAAGAATGACAGTGTGGGGCGCCTGGGTGGCTCAGTCAGTTAAGCGGCTGCCTTTGGCTCAGGTCATGATCCCAGCGTCCTGGGATCGAGTCCCACATTGGGCTCCCTGCTCAGCGGGGAGCCTGTTTCTCCCTCTGCCTGCCTCTCTGCCTACTAGTGCTTCTATCTCTCTGTCAAATAAATAAATAAAAAATCTTAAAAAAAAAAATGACAGTGTGAAAGAATCTTGGTCATCTGACCAAAAGCATTCTAATACTTCTTATAGCCTTGTGATTAATCCTACAAGAGAAAGCTTGTGCCCATGCCATGATTAAGTTGTCCTTTGACTGTCAACCACGGGGCACTGTTACTTGAATCTTTCTTCTTTTTGTCTCACCTGACAGTATTTTAATTACCTATATACCTACAAAATGCCTGGGGATATCAAGAACTGGGTGGATGCTCATATGAACTGTGAAGACATTGCCATGAATTTCCTGGTGGCTAACGTCACGGGGAAAGCCGTCATCAAGGTAAGGTGTCCCGGTCCAGGTCTGCCATAACTTCATGATCTTGTGCAAGTTTCTGTTTCTCTGAGCCTGAGAAGTTCTCTTAAATATAAATGAAGCATTGGATTACATGAACTTTAAGCTCCCTTCTAACTTTAAGATTCTGTGATTGATGCAGTCACATTGTAACGTTAAAGCTAGACTTTTGATGTTTTAAACATATTTTCTTTTTTTATATGGTTTCTTTGGTTATTAATCTCCAGTATCAGAGATAAAGGCTGCGATGGTCAGTCTACAAATCATGTTTTTAAAAACCTTTAATAGTATTCTCAAATCTGATTTGGAATCTAGATCTATTAAAGAATGCAACTTACATTTCTCTTAAGGTGGCTGGTTTTTATTTTTAAAGACATTGAGAAGATAAGTACACCTTGTCCAGTTACAACTGTAGTTTTTCTAAACGTTTTTAAATATCAATCACCAGTTTTTGAAAGTAACTTTCCCATAACAAATTAAAAGCTGAGAGTACATAACGATCACATGGGGGTCTCTGTATCTGTAATGGGTGTCTATTCCGGAAATGTAGTTTTTGCTCGAACCAGATCCCCAGATACAAAGAGAGTTTACTTCTTTTTATGAAGTGGAATTGTCCTGACCTTTTTTCCTTCTGGTTTAGAATTCCATATAAAAATGGGCCATGCTTCTAGGCCAGATTCCTGTACTGGAGTCTTCCCACACTGGAAGCTTACACTGGAAGTGTGGTATGGCCTTCCCCACTGATTGTTCATGCTATGAATTGATGGGAGAAGTCAGATTAAACCAAAGTGACTGAGGAAAGAGGAAGAGTCCCTGTCTGTGCTCTGTAAACTTGGTCCAGGCCTCACCCTGCCCCAGCCCTCTGACTCAGTCAGCACTCACCGCAAGAAAAAGTGAAGCAATGTAAATCACAAAACTAGTTTTAAAGGAATCCCTCTTATCTTCAGAATTGCTTTTTGATGTGCTTCAAGATATTTTTACCTGTGCCTGCTTACTCTGGACAGTCCTTCCTCCATCTGTGTGCTTCTTAGCCTGGCCTTAGGTATCTAGCTTTCTCTCTTTCCCCCCAACCCCCCATCCACTACTGTTTACTTAGCTTCACTAGGTTAGGATAATGGTCTCCCTGGGTTTGCTAAGAAAATCATTAGAAGTTTAAGGTCTGGGAGAGCAGGACGGAGAGTCAGGGAAAAGAATTCAGAGGGTGAGGAGGACCACTGGGTTTTTTCCTGATTGAAGGGAATTGCAAAATAACCTGGCATCTTCAAGAGCATGGCACTGCTCGTAGCATTTGCCATTAGCTGGAAGAAGGAAAAAGAGTGTCTGTTGGAACTAAGGTTACGGTGAAACTTACGGGAAGCTGTATTTCATCGCCCTTATGGCTGCAAGAACAAATGGTGTTTATACAAGGACCTTGGCAGTGAGAAAACAGTCATTAAACAGGAATTAAGGAGCTTGTCATCACCACTTCTTTCTAGTTACAGAAGGCAAAAGCCCTCCAAGCCTTTTTTATTGGGCCCTGGTGAGTTCTGCTGTTGGCCAAGCCAGACAGAATTGAACGGAGGAATGGTGAGGTGTGTGTGTCTGTGTGCGTGTGTGTGCGTGCACGCATGCGCGTGCCCATATACGGGCGCATGTATGCATGTGGAGGGAGCAGGCAGCTCAGCTTACAGAAGCGTGCACAGTGGTGTCACAAGCATGATTTTATTGTCCTTGGCACTGACAACCAGGTATATTTTTGTACTTCTCTGGCAGGTAACACCACGAAAGAAATTCAAGTGTCCTGAGTGCACAGCCATTGATGGGCTTTCGCTTGACCAGACGCACATGGTGGAGAGGTGAGTGAGCTCTAACCAGAAGTCTGCCCTAGCCTCTGATCCCCATTTCCTGCCTTGGGCCTGTTTATGGGACTTGTTGGAGATACAAGGACAGCAGCTGGTAGCCATAGTCACCTCCTTTTGCACTGTGGGAATTGGGTTAGTTCAAGCCCAGGTCACTCAAAGAATTAATTTGGAATGCTACTCACTCGATTTGTAATGGCTGGAAGGGTCTTAAAAATATAGTTGGCCTTAAGCTCCAGAAGTCAGATTCTCCATGTGGACTAAGCAGTTAACCGTCCACAGTCATTTGAGTGGAAGCTAGTTAATTCCAAGAAATACCAAATTGTTCTGCAGGATAGTATCTCCATGTGACAGTAAAAGTTTGATTAGAAAGAATTTAGCCAAACCCAGAGACAAATTACGTTTGCTGACCAAAACACCTACCAAGAACAGAATTGAAAGCACAGCTCTTTCCATTACAGAGTGTGGGGAGGCGGGGAGCATGGCAGCTCTGATACTCCTTTTATTTCAATTTGGTCAGTTACTCAACAAGCACACCTTTGTATGGAACATGATACTGAGCCTTGTAGGTGAGTGCAAAACAAACGGGAGGTGTACATCCTCCCTCAGGACCCTTACAATCCTAGAGTAGGCCTCATCGTTCTCACTTGTACCCCAAAGGTCCCCAAGCATGGCATCTCCTGAATCAAACCTAATTCTCCCAAAAGGCAGCTCCTTACATGAGACAGCAAGCTCGGACATCCAGTGACACTGTTGTCAGGGGACCAGGGCGCACTCAGAGAGTGCTGGAGTAGCCTTTATAGAATAAGATACGTAGTCAAGTGTCCACAGGCTCATATGGATCTTCTTGCAGCGTCCATTTCTAAAGGGTATCCGCCCTGTTCAAGTCTTTAAAGCCTGGAGGATTTTCTTGTACAAAAAGTTGTTTCACTTGGCCTGGATTCTTCTATGATGCTCTCCTCCTCCTTATTTCTTATTCTTACCCTCTAAATAATCCTTTACTCTTTCATATATAAGTATCTTACCCAAGTGACATGACTTTTATCAACTGTCAATGTGAAATAATATATTATATGATTTTGGAGATATCTGTCACTGGTGTCATAGGAATTACACAGTCAAGGGCAGTGACATTAACTGTCATAGCCCATTTAGAAGAGACCCCGATTATAGTTATATTGGAGTACTGATATTATTATTAAACCTACCTCCATTCTTCGTGTTTGGGAGAATTCATAGCATTAAGCTATTGGGTAATTGATTGGGCTGAGTTAAAATGGTGTTATATTGTATAAGATAGGAATTTTAGAGAGAAAGGTTGGCCTGATGATGGCCTTGCAGTTCATGCTAAGGCTAAACAACTCCTCTCTAGCACCACTGAGATAACAAACGTAAAGAGACTTAACATGCAGTGAGAGGGATTTAAGTTAGAATTATTATTAAACATTGAAGAAAGTAACTAAGGGAGATGTGGGGGCTTCCTCTTGGGAATAGGCTTTTGAAAATAGAATAGGCCATTGCCCAGATGTCGTTAGGCTTTGAATAAGATTCTGTCAGAGTTTATAATTAACAACAACAAATACGCATGTTAACAATCCAAAGCTATATGTGATAAGTGCCTTAAGGGAGGCTCCGAATGTTATCGTTGATCAGGGGAAAGAGAAGTGACTTCTCGCTAGGCTGATTACTAGGAATAATTTTGTAAGGGATGACGCCTGAAGTCAGCCCTCAGAGATCACTAGGATCACTGGGCAAAAAGAGGAGATCGCAGGCAGGGGAGACTGGGTGGCCGAAGGTTCCAGTCAGCAGGATGAAGGTGAATCTGGCAAGCAGTTAGGAGTCCAGTCTGCCTAGAGTGTAGAATTCTGGCCTGTTGGTCCTGGGCCCTAAAGAACTGCCCAGTGAAGGAGTCTGAACTTACTTCTTCAGGCTCTGATACACCACTGAAGGTTTTTGAACAGGGGAGCTTGATCAAAGTATTGTTTTGAGGTTCACTTGGAAGTAGTGCACACAATGGAATGAAGCTAAAGAAATTGAAGAAAGCACATTTGGAAAGCTTGAACTAAGTTGAGTGTGGAAAGGAAGGGATGGATTAAATTATAAGACATGGGTTTTTGGTTTTGGTTTTGTTTTGTTTTCTTCCAAAGGAAGATATGCTAGAACTTGAGGTTATGGGGAAGGAATTGACACAGGGAGCTTAGATCTCAAGTCAGGAAGAATGGTAGTACCGTCAACAGTGTGAATGATACAGTTAGGAGGAGACGCTGGTTCATGAGGAGGGAATGTGGATGCTTGCACCTTTAGCAGTGTAATTAATGAGGACAGGAGGAGATTTGAATCATGGGTGAAGTTGGAGAGCCGTAAGGTAGGTGAAGATTTGGGGGTCTTTCCCTCTGTATGTGCAGATGTAGATACAGAGCAAGCATTTGGAAACACGGAACTAGGCCTTCAGGAAGAAGATGGAAACAAAGGTAGATATTGGAAAGACATCTGCCCAGAGATGGCCATTGACTGGAGAAAAGGCAAGGGCAGAATCTTGAGAAGCACTGACATTTTGGAGACGGAAAGAATAACTGAAAACAGAAGCAGCCACTGGAGAGGCCAGGAGAGAAGCAGGATCTACAGTGCACGGAAGCAAGGGAGGCGCACAGAACATGCAGACTGGGGAAAGGGGCTTTGAGTTAAATGGTCAGTGGTGACTTTAAAAAAAATAATGCCATAGAGTGATGGGGCCTATGGATTATGGAGTGTGCGTCTGTGTGAGGAAGTGGAGTTAGTGAATGTAGAATATGCTTTTGAGAAATTTGATTAGGGAACAGAGGACATCAGTCTTGAAATCAGAAACTGGGAGCAAAACTATTTGGATTAAAGATTGAATCACTAAATTATTAAATGAGGCACTTAGATTGGGAGGGAGGAAGGCATGATTTAAGCCATCTTGGGTAGACCAAGAGATGGAGTTACAACTGTGGAATTTTTCACTTGTTGGGGTTTTTTTGTTTTTTTATTTTGTTTTGTTTTTTTTTAATAGTTCCCTTTGCAGAATTCCCATTTTGCACAAAACAGTGAAAGAAGTTAACCACTTTGCAAGTTAGGACCTTGTGTTAGGTTTTGTGGTTTAATAAGCTTATTTATTCTTACATTTGGGGTCTTGGAGCAGAAATCTCAGTTGTGTAGGAGTGTAGCTTTTACTGCCCAGCATCCATTTCCAGGATCTACTGTTAATTCTTGAACAAGCAGAAAACCAGAAGTCTTTGTAACTGTTCATTTTGACCAATTGTTTCACCAAGTTAAGGCAATATGGCAGGCAGACAGTGCTGATCTTAGGAAAAAGAACATTGTATTTTGATTCAGGCCCATCTTTGTTCAAATTATGGGTTTGCCACTTAGTAGCTGTCTGACTTAAGAAAACTGATTTGCTTTACCCTGAATTCCAGTCATTTCATCTCCTAAAATAGGTATATTAATATCTATCAAATTACAGTATCCATTCACGGGTTCAACAAATCCCTATTGAGCATCTTGGTACCAAACACTGTGTTACGTGCTGGAGATGAATGAAGTAATAACACTGGAAAGCCCGTAACCTGATGCCGGGCCACATGAGTCTCCTTCCCAGTTTCCCCAGCATTAGTCCTCAAGGCTCCAGGTTACTTTAGGTAATTGGATGTGTTTACATGGAAAACAGAAAACCATGAGTCCTTTCTCCCACAGACACTTCTAGCACTTCAGAGGTAGACATTGGCAGTTCTTAACCCGTTTGTACTAGATTAGAAAACCAACCTGGGGAAGCATTTACTGACAGGGTAGCTGGACCCCTAACGGAACAACTCAGGTGAGCCACCAGCAACCAGCCAAGCTCACCATCTGCCCCAACCTGTGGCCCAACCCAGACCCCCTCTGTGAAACAAAGTAGGAAACATTGTCAGTACCTGGCAGGAGCATTTAGGACCTTTACCCCTCAGTGGCCAGCAGCTTTTCCAGTGCAGGCTGTGTGGAGCGAAAGAAGCACTCACCAGGCCAGGGTTAGCCAGGGGCAGTTGTCAACAAGTCAGCTGGCCTGAGCCCCAGTGGCCTCTTGCCCATGGCCCGGCCCTGTTGGCAGATCTGGTTACAGAGGAGACGTTGTCCTCAGTGCTCTCCAGCGGGTTGTGGAGCCACTGTCCTCTGCCAAGAACCATGGCTCTTCTTTAATACATACTCACTGGTACCTGTGCTGGGCATGGCTGGCCTTTGCTGGCCAGTGTCTACAGGCATGATGACTGGAAACTGGAAGAATCCGTACATGTTTGTAGACAGAACAGCTGCCAAAAGGAAGACCTTGGAGAGACTGACTGTGTCTGCCACCGCCTTGACCCTATCCTTGGAGGAGAGGGGAGTTGCTGTGCTCGCTCGGTACCCCTTTGCAGACACTCCTGGTCTTCCCTGGGATAACCTCGGACACCCACCTCCTGAGACTCACAGGACTGCCAGCAGGAGGGAAGGTCCGTTACCTGTGAGTTACAGTAGTGTGATGGAAAGCACAAAGGCTCTCTTGCCAGTGTAGACCTGCGTTAGAGACCCAGCTCCAGCACTTTCCAGCTCAGGGGCCTCAGGCTTCAGCTTTAGCTGCTCAGCCTGTAATAGGAAGCTACTGTAAACCAGCCCTTGGGCATATCGAGGGGGCTACTTTAAGGAATCAATGAAATCACGTTTGTAAATTCTCTGGCACATAATAGGTGCTCAGCAGTTAATTTCCAGCCCCTCCGTTTGGACGCTGGAATTAGGTTCACAAATAAATTCGTATCATCTCATCATTAAGATTTTTTAGTCTCAGGAGCCAGACTACCTGGGTTTGGCTCTGCCTCTTATTGTTATTTGACCTTTGGACATGTTACATGCTTCTCCATGTTTCAGTCTTCCCGGTGTAAAATGGGAATAATCATAGAACCTACCCATAGGGTTGTTGGCATGATGGAGGGGGTTCCTAATCTACGTGGGGGCACTTGTAACACAGCCTGGAACCTCTGATACATATTCACTGTTGACTTATGGTGGTGGACACAGTGGAGTTATTAGCTGGAAGAGCTCCAAATGAAATGGTAACACATTCTTTTAGAAACATAATGACCAAGAGAAAAGAATTGATGACTGGCTTCTTTATTAATTGGTTTCTTCCTAAAGCTCCAAAGACTCAAAAACTTGTGGATTAAAACATTTGGAAATAAGGCTTCCAGGATCTCAGGACAGAAGAGACTTTTCTGGTCTGTGTCCTGGAATTCAGCCCCTCTTGGGTAAATGGTTCTGCCTGATTGGTTTGTTCTTACTGTAGCTCTCGGGTGCCTGGGCCTGACTTGAGGGGAGACAGTACTGACCTTTTTGAAATCCATCCTGGAGGTCCCCTTAACTTCAAAAGCCATGTTTACGGGCTTGTTTTTCCTCTCTGGTCTGGCACATCCTCCCAGCTGTCACACTCAGTTGGCCTGATTGACCAGAACCCTTTCCTGCCAGCGTGCCTGACCTGCTCACCTCTGAGGAGGTTGCTCACGGGCTCCAGGGGTGGTATGGAGGCAAGGACACTGCCGTCTCCCCTCCGGGCTGTCTGTCACGAAGCCCAATGGCGCTGCTCGCTCTGACACAGGAACGGCAGCTCTCCGTAGGCTGGTGGGTCAGGGATTGCCCTCCATGACTGTTGGTCGAGTGAGTGAAGGGTTTATTGTTTGGAGGTGAGGTTCCCCGCCTGTTATCTTCATCTGCCTTCCACTGCCCCAGGTGTAAGGTCCTCCCCTCGGCCTTTTAAACTTCAGTAAGCTGGAGCTCAGATCCGGGAGCCTCTCCACCCTTTGCCTTCTCAGTTCAGCTGGCAGACATGGGGTTAAGAATTGTTGGCAGCTAATCCACCTTGGTTTGAGGCCTGCTTGTCCTGAGGGGGGAAGAATGAGTGGAATTTGAGGGGGAGGGGAAAAGATACTCTGACCTCTGCAGGCCGGTGGCCTCCAGACAGCATCCCCTGTTCACTTTCTCCCCCTGAACAATAGTCCCAGTTCCTGCAGATCATTTCTGCTGTCCACACCCTCCCAACCTTTTGTAAGAACCTGGGAGCAGGCTGGGGACACTTGGATTTCTTTTGTTGATACCTAATCAACAACAACAAATGTGTTTTGCTCTCATCTGTCAGCCTCTTGAATATTTTCTCTCTTTTCCTCACTCCTTTCCCTCTCATCCATCACCTGCCTCCTCTCCCCAAACCCCTCAGGTCTGAGTGCATCAACAAGTTTGCTTCCGTCTTTGGGACGATGCCTCTAAAGGTGGTGGAACACCGAGCTGACCCTGTCCTGTACAAAGACGACTTTCCTGAGAAACTGAAGAGCTTCCCCAACATCGGCAGCTTATGAAACAGGCCACTGGCGGAGGTCTGAATGTTAAGCTGGGACAGAGGAGAATACGGCCTCCCCGGCACTCTGATATCAGGGTGTGGGGGATCTTTGATTGACAGGCTGGACCGGGACACCTAACCTGTTTCCTCAAGAACCGGAACCTAAAGAAAGTGTCTAAGCACCTTGAGTGGTGTGTGCCCTGTTCTAGTGTTTCTTATGACCTCCAATGGGTTCTTGTTGAAAATGCCAAATGGAAGCCTTTGTGGCATGCTCTGGGTTGAAATCCAGCTCAGGCTCCCTTTGTTTGCAGTTCCAATAAAACAGTCTGGGAGGAAACGTCACTGACCCTAAGACTGCGGAGAAGACAAACCTACTGGCCATATTAGATCTGGGGAATCATGTAGATCACGCCCATATCTCACCTTTAGCTATTTCAGATCAGTGAGGCTTTTTAGGCGGAAAAGCCAAACCAAGAACTTGATGCAAAATCCCAACATCTTCGTGGGATTTGACCTCTGCCCTGGGACCGGGGGCACTGGGCCCACGCATAGGCAGAGCACCAAGTGCTGAACTGGGATCCTGTAAGTTCCATGAACCATTCCTCTTTGGTTTGGCTTGTTGATATGATTAAAATAATTTTTTATTCCTTTTTATACTATGTTTGAAATGCTGATTATTGGTAATCCAAGGAACGTTCTTTTTTTTTTGTGTAGTTAACTCCATCTTCTGGTTAACTTCAGTCTACCATCCATGTCTAGGAGGATACATAGCCAGGAGGAATATCCGAGGCCATGTGCATCAAGTAGAAGATCCCCAAACTATAAACATTCTGAGAGAAGATTCCTCCAAAGGAATCTGTTTGCTTCTTGATTAGATCCAGTCCATTTCCCTGAGTATTCTCAGGGAAAACAGAGACCTTCTAAAGCCATACCCTGAGATGCTCTAACTGGTGCCATGCTGTAAATGTTGAGGGAGTTGTGATCCCCCACCCCAAGGGGATGCCAGAATTTCCCTCATTCTTTTGGCGTAAACTGAATGTTAGCCAGGGAGGTTCTGGCTAATGTTAAATGCTACTCTAACAACTGCTTTACAACAGTTGCCGGTATATTTAAATCATTAAATTTCAGCATTTAGTAATATTGCACATGTGTGAAGTATACCTCTTTAAGCCCCGTTGATGAACAAATCTACTCTGGCAAATGTTAGATGTTATGGATTCGAAACAGATTTATCTGGCTCTAATATTAAGATTAGCCACAGTTTGGGCTTTAGCCATAACATATGTCCCCAGAACACAAAATACATAACAATTTGCCTGGAATATGGTTATAATTACTGAAACCTAGCTGTGTACCAGTTGAAGTCACTCATACACCACCCATTGTTCTCTTGAGTGACACGAAGGTGAATAGTTACAAAACTATAGTTTTTAAACTTGTAGTTTTAACAAGAGTCACTTCAGCTGTGTTCCCATAGACTTTGAGAGGTCAAAGAAAACTTCAAGAAGTAGCAGAATTGACAGCGGGAATCGCGAGAGTTTCATCTTCTCTCGCAATGAGGAGCGAGAGCACTAGACTGTTCCTGGTGGAAGGGACGAGATGCCGCCTCCTCCTGTACGTTCATGTTGCAGGTGCAGACACGGAAGCTGTGATTTGTCCAGCGTGCTGCCTTCAAACACTGGTGCCTAAGAAATACTGTGGATTTGAATAGTTACATTCTCGCCAGTAGGGGATATGGGAAGGTGCTTAGTCTCATATTCGTAATCCTGGGGATGGTAGGGTAGAAACCAAGAGAAGGGGCGTCTGTTGTCACCGACGGTGAGGACTGCTGCCCTTTCTGGGGTTCCCTAACTTGTCTCCCAAGATTCAGGGTGGGTGGAGGGGTGGGGCCTCACGTTTAAATTCCTGCCGGCAGCTGAGGACTGCGCCAACATTGTATGCAAGTCATCCCCTCAGCCTGGCCCCCTCAGGTTTTCTGCTCTTTTTCATGTCACTGAATCCACCGCCGTAGTGGCTGGCTTGTAATCCAGGTCTCCATCTCTGAGGGTAAATGTTTTCTCTTTCCTTTTTTAAAACGTTGTTAGCCCTTTGGTTTTGGAAGAGGAACACTTCAATCCAAGATGATTGGGAGCCCTGGGGGGCTGTGTTGGTGTGACTTTATCATCTTCTTAGGAGTCACTGGCCTTCTCGGGGCATGAAACTCCATGCAAGGCACCTCACTACTCCTAGAAATATTGCGGGTTCAATCTGGCAACATAGTATGGAACGATTTCTATTACAGAATGAGTATTATATCCTTGGCACTTGAAACCTCAACGTTTGTATCCTATGAACAGACAGGTGGTACAGGCCACAAGGAGAAATCCGGGGCAGGGATACAGCCAGTGGTCATGATTCATGGGTTGCGAGGGGGCTGGGGACTCCACCCCCTTCTCCGTGTATTTCTGAGCTGCTCACCAGCAAGCCTCACCCATAAGCTTGGGCTGGGATCATCTGCCCTTGGGATGCCACAGAGCCTGGTTTCAGAAGCGGAACAATAATGCTAATTAAAATGTCATGTTCTGGCCTACAGCAGACAACAGCTGGTTTTAGATTAAGAAATCTTTTTTAAGAAATTGCATCTTGCTGGCCTGTACAGAAGATGAACCTGAGCTGGCCCTGGCTCTGGCCCAAATGTGCACTTGAGTCACTCGCCTTTGCCCCCAGGGACCTAATTGGGATGAGCCAGCTTGGAATGCAGGTTGGAAACCCTTTTTTGCTGGTTAACATTACCTAGTTCTTAATATTCTTATCTTGTAAATTTTAGCAAGCCTCACATGTGTTTAGGCAAGAACCTTCCTCTCTAGGAAAATTAAAGAGGAAAATCACAGCTTCTGTTCTCCAAATCTGTGGTTCTTTCCCGCAAACGATGCGCTACTGCCTCTTCTCCGCACTCCGTGTCATGAAGTTCACAACTCTGACTACCCAGCTCCTCTGCCAAAGCCTCATGTCCTTGCAGCTGTGCTTCCAACTCGTGGCTTTCCGGGCTAGTTTCTCCGCTGCCTTTGGAAAGAAGTGGGCATCATCCTGGCGTGTGCTGACCAGGACTGGGAGCTGGAAGGGGCAAGCCGCCTCTTTGCTGTACTCACCCTGTGCCCCCAGCGGCTGCCTGGGATGGTGCTCTCTGGCTGGAGTGTTCCTACCACTGACAGATGCAGGTTTCTAGCCACAGGCTCTGAAGGTGTGATTGCCGGGGTAAAATTCAAGACCCTTTGATGGTAGAAGTAACAAGTAGCTGAAGGCAGAGGCCACTTGGGAAGTGGCTTGGGTCTGGTGAGACTTCGTGGCTGGCCAGTGAGAGGGTCCCGTGGGAGCCCAGCTGGGAGGGAGAGGTTTGGGCTGACAGAGGTTACCCGTCAGCCCCCCATCCTGAGCCTGGTGGGTCTCCTTTGCTTTGGGGCCATTAGCTTCTTGTGGGGTAGGCTCCCTTTTCCACCCCTTATGGCCCAGGTAGCCTGTTGCAGCAGCAGAAGTCGCAGCAGGCTGCTCCCCAGGCAGCCCTGGCACAGAAAGGCAGGGACAGAGTGCTAAACTGGCCCCCAGCCTCTCAGCCACTTCCTGCAGGGCCGTTCTGGCAGGGGTGCTCACCATCCTGGCCCGTAGCTGCCCTCCAGGAAGACTCTGGAAGCAACCTGAGCTTTCCACTGCAGGGCCTGCAGGCATATGAAACCAGGGGTCTGTCTACTCACCTCAGCCCTGCTCCGTTCTAAGCCCTGGGGCTCCTATCTGAGGCCAGAGTTTGATACACACCGTTTTCTGAGTATAATCAGGGACAGCTTGTGGCCCCATTGTGCCCACTAAGAATCGTCTGACAATCTGGGAACAGATTTCATTGACCTTCTCCTGGCAGAGAAAAGTTAGGTAGGACTCACAGTGTTAAGGTTTTCCCCTCTCTTTAGGGTGGGAGCATTCTAAGCCCAACCCACAACCTCTCATCCACCTTTGTCACTGTCAGATGGACTAGTCAGGGATTTCAGTCTCAGGCTTTGTGACTTCCAGGTTCTTCCCGGGGACGGGGTGTGGGTCTGCACAGTCGGCCTTGTGCCACGGCTTTTCATTTCAGGCTCACCATTGTTGACAAGACAGGGAAGATGACTGGGCAGAGTTGGCCCCCCCACCCTCCCAACTTTCCAGGCCTCTCTCATTTTCAAGAAACAGTTGAGTCACCAGCATCTGTGTCTGGCATTTTGTTTCCACAAATTTACAACCTTTTCAGGGTAGAGTTTTCTCTTTTTTCTAGTCCCAACTAGTTGGGCCCCTGATTGCATTTCTTCCCAGTCCCCCTGAAGGGTATAGAGCTGTCAGGCAGAAGACAAAGGGAGGGATGCCTGTGTGGCTCTCAAGAGCTATCAGGCAGCTGTGTCTGCTAGAGGTTTCTTAGCAGAGCTCCATCTTGTCTGCAACCTCTCAGGAGCTGCATATGGGGTGAGATCTGCCAACAGAGCAGGGACTGGAGTCCATATGTCTTAGACCCAAACCGCCAGCCACTCCATATAGAGTGTTTTCTTATGGAAGCCACCATAAGAGCTTTCCCTTCAGAATATATCTACTTGGGCTTTTATTTATAGGCACCAACTTCTATCATTTGCACCTATGCCCAAGAATAAACTCAAGGAGCATCTGGTTTTCTGATAATCACAGCTGAAGGACAACCAGCTACTTACTTGATCCAGGTGAGGTAAGAAAACATTTACTCCGTTGTTCGTTTTTTTCTAATCATTCATTCATCAAAATACACTTGCTAGACTCTGTGCCGGCTCCAGGAAATAGAGAGTTGAATAAGACACTGTCCTGAGCTCAGGGCGCTCCAATTCTAGTGGGAGTTCTTGAGCTGTGTAAGATGGTGGGAACCCGTCAGTAGCCGAGGACTCTGCACATGCTTTTTAGTCCCAGCTGTAAGTGAAGAATCCGTTAACACTATCTTTTCTGGTGCTTGGAAGATGCAAGGATGTTCCCATTTCCTCTTCTCATAGCACCTTCCCTTAAGTTGAACCCTGAGCCGCCTTTGGCCTCGAGAGAGTCCATTCCCATGCCTTAGTTTCTTCAACCTGAATCTGGAGGTAGCAAGAGCACTTAGGCCCCGGGATGGTGAGATGGAATGTATGAGATCTTTTCTCCTTCTCTTAACCAGGGCCTTTACAGGGTTGTAGGTACAACCTACAACCAGGTGATGCTGGCCACCAGCCCTCTTCCGGCCCCTATTTCTGCTCACCCTGTTACCAGAGAGCTTGGGGGTCTGGATCCTATCTGGCCCCGTCAGGGTGGATTACCAGATGAGTGGTTCTTTTGCCCCAGTCCCTTTCCTGTGTTATAAATAAGCCCCATGTTTATTTTCTTATGTTATTGAAATGAGCACTTGGGATCTGGGCCTCTTGACGAGTCCAGAGAGCGTCCATCCGGTGCCTGGTGAGGGCCCTGCATGGCTGGCTGCTGTCTGAAGCTATTTGGAGTCCTACCCCCTGTGTTTTGGATGTGGCTTAATTTCAATAGTAAGGTCTGTATGCAGCCCTGTATCTGCTGATTTTCAGGTTTCAGCTTTCTGCCAGCCTCACTGCCTGCTTAGAAGTAAAGTTGTGTTTCCCATTAAGGGGATAACAGCCACAATTGAGGTAATTAACAAAAATTGTGCATTGGTGGCAGCAGCTCCTGTAGGATTTCCAATAGTCTTTCTCTAGTAGATCCTGAAGGGTTTACCTTCATCCCCTCCCTTCTGCCTACCCTGTGCCCAGTCTCTGTTCCTGTTCTCTGGATATAGTCCCAATAACTTCTCTTGTAACAGCTTTGTTCTTGTCACCAGTTGGGTTCAATGTATTGACAACTTGGCCAAATGAGGATTCCTCTAACTCCATCTGCTCCAATTCTTGGGAGATGGAGGGTTTTTTCCCTCTCTTCTCACAGCATCTTCCAGTTGCCTGTTGTATGTTGGCCTTTCCTCAGCAGTTATAAGGATGAATATCCGTGAATATCAGATTGATGCTCCTTTTAGTCCCATGGCTACACCATCTCGCTGGAGAGGGTGACTTAGGGACAGCGTTGGGATAGAAAGGAAACATCTGGCAGCCCAATGCAGTGTGTTACATGCTGTGTCTGGGTCTGAGAACTAGGAAATGTTCTGATTTAGGACTTCCTAAGGAGTGATTTCTGCCTCCTTCAGGCTTTGACGACACATCAAAGCTACCCGGTGAGACTATGGCCAGGACACAGCCTTGTCTATCAGAACTTGGATTGAAGAGCGTCAGCTACTCAGGATGGATTAGCCTGGTAAGTCAGTAGAGAAATCTTTCTGTAGACACAACCCGAACCTGAAGTCTGTTAATGAAGAGAATTGTGCCTAACAATGAGATTTAATTCACTTTCAGAGAAGGGACCAAGAGAAAGTAAATTTTCACTCAGGTGTTTTTAGTCTACTGACTCCTAAAGATTCTTTTCCTTTAAAAAATAAGCCTGATGTGATGGATTCATTCAATCATTTCAACTCATTGAGCGCTTACTAAGTACCAGATACTGTTCTTCATGTGAGGATGCTACATTGAACAGAATAAAATGCCAACTTTTATCTAAAAGTTTACATTCTAAGAAGGAAGACAACCAAAACAAGTAAATGAATATAATTTCAAATGGTAATAAATGCTGTGAAGAAAATAAAGCAGGGTAAGGGGAGATAGTGGC